TTATTATTATAACAATTATGTAAAATCTGTCTGTCATTTGGGTGCTGTGGTGCTGAGTCTGATGGCAGATGGCACAAGTGAGCCACTGGCTCCTGCAGTTTTACCTAATCTTGATGCAATGTCTTTTCTTAAAATATTACAGACCAAATATTACATACTGAATGAGTAGCCTATCTCTAACAAGCTAAATATCTTTACAGCAGCGTTTGAGCCAAAATGGAGGTGATGTAAAAAAAAAAATGCTGATTGATTAATTATTTATTCCATCGTATTTACGCCATCTAAGTCTTTCTCTGTCTATCTTAAAACACTTTCTATAACGTGGCGATGATACAGGAAATATTTATATTTATTTATACTTCTCTGAAGTGGTCTTGTTATGTATGTAAGGATCATGCTAAGGATAGGTTTTAATTTTAATTTTGTTGTTGTGACCGTGTATCAAAAAGCATGTGCCCTTTTTTAAAATTGAATTTAGAAAAACTACAAAAACATTTCCAAAAATGAAAGCTGTTGTGACGTGAACAGATGATTTTGTCATTTATTGCCCTGAGTTTAGCCTCACAGACTTTCTTACATATCCCGCCTCGTTCGCTATGATTGGCAGATCATGACCCCAGCTAACTTTAACATTGCCTTCTCAAATTTAACGACAAAAAACATATTGTGTAACAAAACGCGCGAATAAAGCATCCTATATGCCTGTCTTACATTTTGTATTGTAACTAAACACATTTAATCATTAGTGGATGTTGCTAAGTAACCGTTGAGACAACCTGAGGGATCAAACTCAGGGAACCAAAGATCTCAATTACGAACAGCGGTGTTTGTGCGCATGCGGGGGTCAGGGTTGACAGTCTCCACACAGTCGTGGAAGGAGTGCGGCGGCTAAGCTAACTGCAACCACAGCAAACTAGCTACATGTGGAGGGTAAAACGGGAGGCATACCCGACCCTAACTCTGTCAAAATTCCTACTTTTTACCCAAAACAACTCTAAAGTTCAGCCTCATCGAAAATAAGGGATAATATCTGTTTACAATGAAAGGGTGAGTGTACGCTTTTGAGTCACGAATAAGTAGCTTGGCACGAGTAAAGTTTTTCATGTCTTTTTTTTTTTTTTTTACAAGGGGAGGCGGGGAGGAGACGGCGAGGCTAGCTAGCTGGCTAAGCTACTTTTATTTTAGGTGTAGGAAAAAAAAAATAGAAACGACAGCATAAACACTGACAGAGTTCTCTCACGGTTATTCTCGTCAACTTAAGCCGCTTGTCGGTTCGTTTAGGTCGCAAACACGCATAGCTAACTAGCTAGCTGCTCCTGGGAAGCTGAGTCAGTAAACCCACTTCAGCTAACGTTAAGCTAAATAGACAAAACCTGGAGCTCACATGATGTGTGCTTTCGCGTCAAAGTCGACAACATTTCAGCTGTAGTAAGATAGCCGAATCAGTTAACTAAGTTACTGAGCTGATGTTGGTCAGCTCTCTGCCCGTATTATTAACGTGTCACCCGACATCAACTTCAGAGTTCGTGCCAGCTTGCTCAGTGTAACTTGACATGTGAAGTAACACACCATCAGTGATGCTTGACGTAGTAACACATTTTTGGCTACGGTCTTGATTCTCAGATGACGTGAGGACAATCAACCCTGAACTGTATTAATCGAGGAGATAGGATTTCATAGACATTAACGTTGCTGTTTGAAGTGTCGAAGGATGCTGGCACTGTAAATATCCTGATGAACAACACACGTGACCGACAGCTGTTTATTTTGGATGTGTAGGCTCCTAAAAATACTACAGTGAAGTTGAACCCCTCAACCATACAAGCTAGAGTGTTTTTAGTTCACTTACTAAGACACTGTAACACACATGGTCCTGGCTTGTCAGATTCTAGATTCAGATTCTGATTTTAACAGGCGCCACATCCAAATAAATAATATCAAATGTCATTCACTTTATGTGTTTAAGTTATGTTGAAAGAGTGGTTTAGGTGGATTGTGCCTGGCACCAGGAAACATTGTGCTATGTGACGTTTGTGGGTCAGTGGCACAGCTTCCACCACATCTGGATTGGCTGTCATGTGCTGATTATTTTCTCTAGTGATTTAATTACTGTCTATAAAATGTAAGAATATGATGTAATGTGTCCATCACCATTTCCTAAAGCAGAACATGACATCCTCACATGGTTTGTTTTGCCCGACCATCTGTCTTAGACCTAAATATATTCAGTTTACTGTTCAATAAGAAAACGAAAGTCATCAGATTGTCACATTTGAGAAGGTACAGCTCAATAATGTTGAGCATTTTGTCCAAAAATGTACCTAAACAGACTAATTTACAGTTGATTGACTAAAGTTACTGATTAGTTGTTTCAGATTTCGCATTAATGTTTATTGAATAAAGCAACAGCATTCGGGTGGTTTTGAAAAGGATGTCAGTACTCAGCAGTCTTAAGCTAGATCTCAAAATAATCAAGATGCTACAATGGCTCTTTAATGTATTTGATTCAAGTTACCCAGACTATAACAGTGTGATTGTTGTCAGCCATTTGACCGTTTTGCTCTTGTTCCAGTAGCCGGATCGAGCTGGGGGATGTTACGCCCCACAACATTAAGCAGCTGAAACGCCTGAACCAGGTCATCTTCCCCGTCAGCTACAACGACAAGTTTTACAAAGATGTACTGGAAGTTGGGGAGCTTGCAAAGCTAGGTAAGAAACATCACTTATGTAACTTACACCCAGATAACTTGAGATTACATTGTCATGAAAACTTGCCACCCTCTGCAGTCATCATGGCTCCTTAGGTTAGAAGGAAATAAGGGTTCACTGTCTATTGGTGATGTTTCAGTGTTAAATCCTCTTTTGTTTTGCAGCATACTTCAATGACATTGCAGTGGGGGCTGTGTGCTGCAGAGTGGATCACTCTCAGAACCAGAAGAGACTGTACATCATGACGCTCGGCTGTCTAGCACCCTACCGTAGACTTGGAATTGGTAAGGAGCTCTGCATCTCTAGTAGACGCTGAAGTGCACTTTGTGATCTTGTGTTTTTTGTTTTTACAACTTTGCCCATGTGTTTTTCTCCAGGTACAAAGATGCTGAATCATGTGCTAAACATCTGTGAGAAGGATGGCACTTTTGACAACATTTACCTGTGAGTGTCTCATTGCAGAAGGTGTTTGAGGAGATTTCCTAGAGTTTGTGTAAAGCTGAAAATAATACATTTTGTAGATAAATTTGATTTTTTTTTAACCAAAACTGATCAAATTGATTGATTCTACCACAAACTGATTCAACTTTTCTCTCCCCACAGTCATGTGCAGATCAGCAATGAGTCAGCCATTGACTTTTATCAGAAGTTTGGCTTTGAGATCATCGAAACAAAAAAGAATTACTACAAGAGGATAGAGCCCGCAGATGCCCATGTGTTGCAGAAGAGTCTGCGCAGCCCATGTGCACCCCCAACCGGAGAGCTTCAGAAGGCAGAGTAAGGGCACAGCGTTTGGAAAGAGCACAGATGTGCCCACCTCCACAGAAACAGAACTGTGATAAATGCCCCAGGGTCGACACATTCAACACTTTCTTCAAAGGACGCTAAAAAGAGAAAACAAATTTAAAACTACAAAAATTGCTGCATTTATTTTGCAAAGGGGTCACATTTGATTTTTGCATATTTTATTTCTCCCCATTCCTTATACTGATAATTGAAAAGACAAAAAGCTCAGTATCCAAAAGTGTTCCTATTGACAAAGTTGCCAACTTCAGACAGTTTTAGATTTGGTGGAGGGGGAGGGTGTGGTGTTTGCAAATCCATAAGTTGTTTTTATGAGGTTATAAAGCTAATGGGGACATATCTATGCTGCAAAAGTAAACAGTTTGTTTGGAGCGTAAAAGGTGTTTGACCATCACTGGGACACGCACAAAGTCCCAGCTGGTCAGCTTGGAGTGACGCTTTGAGTTGTTGCGTGGAACAGTCACAACTCTATTCCTTCACCACCTGAACCCTGGGATTTATGGGAAATGTGTCTGACCAGTTTGTTGCTATGTCATGTCAAGAGGGGAAAAGCAGAAATGTGTCACCTCAGTACAAGCATAAGGAAGGCTGAACGGTTTTGAGGTGGTGGGAAGACGTTCTCACCACTCATAATTTCTGAATAACTTTATTTTTCCAGCCTGTTAATTTAATTCCCCTTCAACTGTTATTTTTATTTTTTACATTGCGATGGCAAGTGGTTCAGAGTTTCTTCTGGGTTTACTACTAAGAGTGAAAACATTAAGGAATGAGAGAAACAAAAAAATAACTGCATTGAATGTTTTTCTGAGAAGAGCACACCATGTCTTTTGAGAGGTGTTCAAATAACAACTGATTGGCCGTTTGGGATTGGATTTGGGCATTATTTTTTAGTTAAATGAAGGTGTGTGAGGATGTGTCTCTAAACGCAGGAAGTGTTTTGAGACATCCTACCTTAAACACCTTTGGCACCGTATGTAGCCACTTAGCAGAAATTGTCTTCTCAAACTTCCTGTGTCAGCTTCTGCGGTTACACATGCCTTAATTAGGTTTTGAAGCTCTGCAGAAAGTTTGGGTATGGTCTCTTGAGCAGTGTTTTACCCCGAAGAAGCTCTGACCCCTCTGCATGCAAGGAGAGTTGTGTCCTCTCCACTGTAGTATAAGCATGTTTTTCCTTTCTTTGAAGAATTTTATCTTTTCTGGAGCTCTATATTGTAAGACTTTTTAACGTCTAAATAAAGGAATTACTATTTGCAGTAAATGTGTTGCTGGCTATCTTATTCTGTTTCATGTACATGATAAATGATTTGCTAAATAAATGTGGTTGAAAATGAATTTAGATGATCAAGATGTACAGCATAAATATATAGGCAGTAATTGTAACTGGGTTCTCTTTTAAACGTCGTGATTGGCTGAAGCTTCCCAGATCTGGAATGTGATTGGCTTTCACCCCGCCAAAGCCCTCCCCTTTCTTCACAAAGTTAGGTATATCCAGATTGTTTTGAGAGATGAGTTGAATGCTTTGCTAGCTAACAGTTAACCTCCAATCTCAAAGTTCTTGCAGGGACATACAGTCTCCAAAATGCCGAGGCTAGAGGTTAGTGGAAACTACTACCCATTAGCAACCTTTATCAGCAGGGACGCGGAGAAATACGCCATTAATTTGCTTGATGATTATTTCGGTAACGGTAACTTAAGCTAGCAATTAGCCATCTAGCTAAGTGAAAGCTAGCTGAATAGGTAATTGCTCAGGTTGCTAGTAAAGTGACGGAGTAATTATCTGAACATCGCTTAATGTCAACGTAAATCAGGAATCACAACTCTTCATGCCATTCATTCAACAGTCTGTTGTAATTATGCTGTAATATGCAGGTAAAATAGTTTAGGTTAGCTGTAAAGCTAGGTTAATCTACACCAGCTTGTTAGCATCTAGTAGTTGTAGTAGCCTCAGTATATCTTAACAAGGTTCTTTGTCTGTCTGATATCTACTGTTATATCAAATTATATGACGACATTGCTGCTGGCTAATTGCACCTAAATTATTCTGTGGTGTTACTTATTTAAAATTCATACTCTGTTGCTCTGATTCTTTCTGTTTTCATTGCAGGACGGAAGGGTTTCAAGGTCCACCTGTTAAATGTGTTGACTGGTACCTTACCATACAGGCAACTGTTAGTACAGGATGCCAGAGATGACTGAAACACAGACACCTGGTCGTAAACCCAAGTAAGGATGTTTGAGATGGTCTTTATTGCTGTTTTAATCTACTTATCAGCACAGTCACTTGGATAAATATGAACTTAGTTGTATAAATGCAAACTGTTATTTCATATTTTATTTTGCAGAAAGAAGAAAAACAAAGAATCTCATAATGCAGGTGAAATACTATCGCTTCTGTTCAAATGTTGCTGTTTAGTGAACACATATGAATTATGGGGGACGCTAACTGGTGATCACTATATGTGTAACAGGACATTAAAGTTGAGTCTCTTCTTTTATATAGTTGAGAGACACAGAAAAGAGAAGATTAATGCTGGGATTAACCGCATTGGTAATCTTCTGCCCTGTTCCCAGGCACTTAAACAGGTAAGAAACAAGCTGGCATTACTACTTAGCCTCATCAGCAACACATTATGCTTAAATTAGTGTGTGTACAGGCCAGTTAACTGTTGTGTGGCATGTTTTAACATCAAACCTCCATCCCCTTATCTATAGAGTAAGAACATGATCTTGGACCAGGCTTTTCGCTACATCACTGAACTGAAGAAACAAAATGATACAATGCTTCTGGAAGGAGGAGATAAAGTTCAAGGTGAAGTTTATTTGTTTAGTGTTTTTGCAGTACTGCTCACTTTGATTTTCTTACAGTTTAATTATACTTGAAGTTATGAAAGTGTGATAACACTGTATTTGTGCTTGGAGTCATTAATGTATGACTAGAACTCGATTGAGTTATATGTATGTTTGGTCTCTGTGCAGCGGAGGAGATCCGTCGGCTGCGGCGTCAGTTGGAGGAGCTGAGGAGGGAGAGCGCTCACTACATTGAGCTCCTCAAAGCCCATGATATTAACCTTCTAGAAGACCCCACTATTCACTGGAAGGGCAAACAGCGCTGCACCAAGGTGGCAAAGGTGACCCCCACTCACCAACTCCCAAAGGGGATCATCGTCTATTCCAACGGCAATGTGATGTGCCCAGCAGGGAAGGAGACTAGCCCAGCGAAACAGCCTTCTGACACATTAATTATTCAGCCACCTTCGGAGGTCAGTGCCAGGCTGAGGGTTAATGGAGCTCTGCTGCAAGTTAATACCTCTTCTTCCACCCCTGCACTTCTCCCTGGGTCGACTGCCACACCCACCCAGTCTACGCCAGGCCTGAGAATGATAGAGCAGTGTGTGGTCGAGACACCGGCTGCAGCCCCCACTCTGCCACCTTCTGTGTCTTACATCACCCTCCAGATCCCTGCAGCCACCACAACCCTGCCCCAGCAACCGCAGTCTGCCGCCCCAGCCCAGACCCTCACCATAGCAGACACGTCAGCCTCACAACTCTCCAATGAAAGCCCTGCCGTGTCCAATCTCACCACACATACCCAGACTTTAACCATACCTAGAGCAACAGCCTCAGAGGTTTGCTCTTGGGTCACACAGGATACTGCTGTCAGAACTGTAAGTTACACTTCTATCCCTAACAACCAAGCCCTTCTTAGGGCTGGGGCGGCAGGAAGCACACAGACTACCTGGACAACACTGCAGATGGCAGGGAACACAGTGCAGCCAGTCTGCCAGAGTCTCCCCATCCCAGAGGTCATCAACACCACCCAGGCTGTCCAGCAGGTGACTGTGTGTCCAATGGGCAACAAACCCCCTATTCAGCCTATTCAAATACAGATGCAACCACATGTGCCTGTACAGCAAGCACCCATTACAACCCATATCCAAGCACAGCCCTTTCAGAGAACACCCCAGCTACAGCCAGCAATCCTGAACCAGGCACAGGCTCAGCCTGTCCTTGCCCCCCAACCTCAGTGTGCTGTAATCCCCCAGTCAGCAATACTACCCCAGCCAGCTGTGGTGGGCCACCCTACCGTTGTGTCGCAACCCCAGCCTGCTGTTCTTCAACCAGCGTCATTAGTTCCCCATCCTCCCGCAGCCCTCATACCTCAGCAACAGCCTGCCCTGGTACCCCAGCAGCAGGCCACGGTGCTGCCCCTCCTTCAGACTATGCAGGTGCTGCAGGTCAAACCAACCGGAGGGACAGCCTCAGGTGTAACAGCACCACAGAACACTAACAACCCAAGTGTTGTCATCCTGCAGCAGGCCAGTACTTGCCCAAACCAGTCAGTTGTAAGGGAAGAAATAACCAATCCGACACCCTGTCAGCATATTGTAATCATCCAGGCACCCAGTCAGACTGCACCTGCCCCTCAGAACCCTCAGGTTGGCATGGTGCCTGCAGCTGTGCCCACTGCACTACCTGTTGTGTCCACTCAAATACCCACAACCAGCAATTCAATGTCTGCCACTTCCTTACAGAGTGTTGGGGGAAAGCAGCTGGTGCACATTCTCCCACGACCTGTTCAACCTCAAATCAACCATCCCCTTCAGGTGACCCAGGCCTCCGCTTCCCCACAGGTTCCTCCAACCCCACAGACTATCACTGTGAACGGCCAGGTGTTTGCCTTGCAGCCCATGAAGACCTCTGACAAACCCATCTCCCAGGGTGGCCAGAGTACTCTCCAGCTGGTCCAGCCCACCACAACAGAGGAACCATCTACTAATGTGGCCCTCAACAGTTTAGGGGCACTCAGCAGTCTTAATCAGAGCATCTCTCAGGGCCTACCACTTACCATTTCTAACCAGAACAACTGTCAGATTGCAGCTGCTCCGTCATCAGTAGTCCAGCAGAAGCAACCTCCTGCTCCAGGATCCGCCCCTGGAACTACACTTGCTCTACCTGCCCGGCAGCTACAGGCTCCTTGTTTGAACCCAGTCAAATCAGGGCTGGTGGTTAATGCCTCTAAGCCTTCAGGGAAAAGGCTTCGCACTACATCGAATACAAAGAGGGGAACAACTAAAAGGACTAAACCAGCTAAGAAAAAAGAGCTCAGTCAGGCACAGCCTCCTGTTGCTGTTTCAGCCAAGCTGCTGGCTGGTGCAGGTGAAAGTCAGACGGTCCCAATTCCTGTATCTCCAGTTTTACAGTCCTCTACTGTAAAAGTCACAGACACTCCTCCCACAGCTATCACAACCACAGAGTGTAGTGAATCTATAGCAAATATTACCTCCACACAAAACACTCAGATAATGATAGTGTGTAGTTCATCTAATGAGTCAACTGCATTTAGTCAGTCCCATCCGCAGAGCAAAAGCTCTGTCAGTGAAAAGCAGACTGATGTTTTATTAAGTCATACTAACACAGGTAGTTTGGCGACTGCAGTTACAACTGCCAGTGCTACGTCAGTCAAGCCATCAGTTAGTGCAGCTGTGGTCATTGAGAGTAAACCGGCTGTAGTTTCTGGCAACAGCTCAGCTGTAGCCAAACTCTCAGTTCCAGAAGTTAAACAGGCAACCATCAGTTTAGCAACTGGCACAACACAAAGTAAGTCAGTTTCCACCACTGCTGTTTCTAGACAGAGCAGATCTGTGGTCAGTTCTGCAGGTGCCACTGAGAATCAGTACACTCCCACCACTGTTTCTACTGCATGTCTGACTTCAGTCTGCTCTAATAGTATCACAGCAACAGCACCAGTATCTTTAAATCAGGCTACCCAACCAACCTCAGTATGTCGTCCCCAGGGATCTAATACACAAGGTCCTTTGTCCGGTAATAAACCTGTGTCTCAGCCCACTCGGTCACCCTTGGTTTCCACAACTGTGGCCTTCTCATCACCTGCTGTGACTTTTTCTGCAGCCCACAGCTCTGTTACAGCCCCTACAAGTTCAGAGTTTAGGAAAAGAGTCACTACCAGCACAGCTCCAACACAGCAGACTGATGTAAATATGCCCATCCCCTCTCCATGTCAGCCTGCTGAAGTCAAACCACCCCAGCCCCCTAGAAGAGACACGGAGGCTCAGGAAGAGAGACATTCCACAGCAGCAGAGAAAGCGGGCTTGGTGGCAGCGACTTCGGACACTCCCTCTAGAAAGGATTTTGCCCTATCTCAACAGGTGTACACTAACCTTGACGATCAAACTATAGAGCATCCTATGACATCTAGCAGGCAGGCAGATTCCCCCATGTCTGCAGGAGCTGGGGGAGGCAGAGGATTCTCTGTTGCATCCATGCTTCCCCAGGGTCACAGTATTAGTGCGTCATCTGGCTCCTTTGGAACATTTACATTCACCTCTGAGCAGGCAGACATGCTGGCTTTGGCCATGCTAGAACAGGACAGTCCAGGAAGGCGGAGTGGAGGCTGCTCTGGGGACAACAGTGCTTCTACAAACCCCACCACAGCCACATGGGAGCCCTCAAAAACACCACCAGTGTCTAGCAGTAAAGAAAGGGGTTCAGCTGGACAGCAGGCAAAAGTGGCTAAATCCATGGACACAGTAACAGTTAAACCAGCTGTCCAGGTATCTGCCAGAGGACAGGCTGGTGAGGGGTCTGTCAGTGGGACCAGTGGAAGCAGACATCCACAAAACATCTCTTACTCCCAGTCTCAGTCTCTTCCCCAGGTCCAGTCTCAGAGCTCATCCCACAGCGGCACCGTGGCTAGCCTCAGCGTCAACAACCTGATCAGAGTCAACTCTAATCAGCAACCCTACCCGGGTTCTCCCAGTCTGGCTGGCCAACAGGGTTCAGTTCCCTCCCCTGTAGGGACCTCAGCCCACATATCCCAACCTTCAAACAACACCCGCTCACCTTGCTCAGGTGCGGCGCAGCTGAATGAGTACACCCCCTCAAAGACTGCATTAATGAGGGCTCAGGCTGGAGTTGGTGTGGGTGAGCGACATGTAAAGATCATCTCCAAGCGGCAGGCCCAGGAGGAGGTGATGCTAAACTCTGGAAAACGACCCAAGCCTTGCCCCCCATCAGCTATCACTGTTAGCCATATGGATGTGAAAGCACCAGACCACAGCCAGATGATGGTGGGACAGCTGCCCCCCACATCCTCCGCTATCATGACAAGGATTAATTCCGAAAGCGGAGGCTTCTCCACAAATTCTTTCATGAGCCCGGTAGTTCGCCCCGCAGATGGCCACTGCCCTCCTCAAGGACCCCCCGAGCAGAACCAGCCAGGGGTGCTTCATTTACCCCAGGGTCATCTACAGCATGCTGCAACACAGCCTGGCCAGCACCTGGGAGGAAACCTTTACATGAAACAGCAGCAGCAAGAGCAACAGAGACACCACCTGTATCACTTGCAACACCACCTGACACAGTCTGACCCCGCACAGCGCCACTCACTACACCAGAGGGCGCTTCAGCAGCAGCAGCAGCAGCAGCAGGAGCAGCAGCAGCATGTGCAGAAGAAGCGGGGACTTGTCAGAGTAAGTCAAACTGGTTCACCTGCTGGCCTGCAACAGAAGCAGCATCACCTGGAAAAGTCTGGAGTTCAGCAGCAGCAGCACTCACATCAACAGCAACAGACACAGCATCAACAGCACACACAGCAGCAGCCACAGCAACACCAACAGTCACACCAACAGCCACAGCAGCATCAACAGGCAACACAACACCAACAGTCTCAGCACCAACAGCACCAACAGCAGACACACCAACAGCAGCCACAGACGCAGCATCAACAACATCAACATCAACAGCAGCAACAGTTACAGCAGCAGCAGAGCTCCCACTCCAGACACCAGCAGCATCTGCAGCAGCAGATCCAGCAGCAGCAGCAGCAGCAACAGCAGCAGCAACAGCAGCAGCACTTTAGACACCAGGAGAAGAGCTGTGAAGCCCAGACAGCAGGATCCAGGGCCCACCACAGCGGCCACCTGGCCCAGCAGGAGCACCTCAAGGTCGGTGTCACATAGTAGATAATGTGTGATTTAATACGATTGGGAACAAAGCACAGTGGCATGTAAGGTAATTTGATTGGCATTCTTGGTGCTAAAATGATTGAACAAGTAATTGTGCAACCAACTAATCAACAGAAAATTAGCAATGACAAATTTGATAGTGAATTTACCATAAATATTGTCTGTTTGCAACTTAATTGCAATAACTTGCTTGATTTTCCTCACTAAATACTAGTAAACTAATGAGGGTCATTTCTAATTACTTTACATATTGGATTTTTATTTCATGATTCAAAAACTGAGGTGTGACATGTCAATCAGAGCAGTCAACATGTTAAAGAAAAGTTAGATCTGGTATGCTGGTATTTTTTGGGGAGTGGTTGGTGGTAATTTGTCCAATCTCTTTGACACTGTGGCCTGTAACAATGTTCCCCTTACAAAGACCTAGCTGTAGCAATCCACCGCAGCAGGCCACATTTACACTGCCACAGCAGAAAAATCCTCAAAACAAAAGCAAAATGCTTGCCTAGGAGCTTTTTCTGTCCTGGGCCTTGCAGTGAAAAAGCAGCCCTGCCCCCTTTGCCACAGCTAAGACAGAGGAATGAAAATTGATGGTTGTAATTTCAAGTGAAATGCAATTGAACTGGAGTAATATGTTGCCAATTTATTACTTTACATTTCTGGAAACTTCCTTTTGGGTGGGTGTAGCATCACTCATGGTTGTTTGACTTACATATGTAGCTTTTTTGCTGTCATTGTTTAACTGGCAATCCAGCTAAAGCACAGATTAATAATGCTGAATAATTGATCAGACTTTTATTTGAAAATAACATTTTGACTTTTTCTCTCCCTCAGCCTGGTCAAGACCACAACGCTATGCAGAGGATGATGAGCTCGAGGACTCTGGAGCAGCAGCTCATCTCTCCTCCCAGTAATCCAGTGTCACGGTCGTCTGACCTGGCCTGCGCTCCATCACGACAGGAACGTCACCGCGTTTCTAACTACTCTGCGGAGGCGCTCATTGGTAAAAGTTCCACCAGTGGTGAACAGCAACAGCGGATGGGGCTCCACCTTCAGCCTGGCCGCGGTGCCACACAGGAGCAGCCAGACCTCCGCGGTTACCTGGACTCACCACGAGGGAAGGCCAACATTGCGCACAACCCACAGAATCGCCTGCCCTCTGACCATCCAGGGTCCGCTGATGTTCAGCGGGTCTCGGAGTGTGTGCCATTCAAGGCCATGGGAGGAGGAGCTCATCAACTCAGTGGTTTTGAGGCTCAGGTGTCTCGTGGGAGTGACATGGCCTCTAAGTCAGTGCCGTCCTCCCAGAGGGGCCCACAGGGACAGCAGCAGGGTGGGTTCAGGATGGGTGTTGGTCCCCCAGCAGATGGCCGTAACCGTGGCGGCTATAGTGCAGCTCATCCGAGCTCACAGGGAGTACAGGTTGGACCAGCACTGCCTCGGGAGCAGGACGGTTGTCATCCGAGTTTCATGCAAAGTCTCCTTTCTCCTCACCTGCCTGATCAGAGCAACCACCAGCGGGTGCAGTGCTGTCCCCCAGTCAGCATGGACTACAGCTGTGTACCTGGGAGCTCTTCAGGAGACATACAGGCCAAGGCCTCCAGCCCCAGTGTGCCCCAGACGCAGAAGGCCCCGGGTATGCGGCTTGGTGAGGGCAACAAGGGCCACATTTCTCAGGTCAGCAGTAATATGCATGGAGGCCCGGGTGTGCGCGCAGGTCTCCCCCATCCTCCAACCCCACACAGCAGCTCGGAGCCAGGCCGCTCCTCTGCCCCCTCCAGACCACCCACTGCCGTCAGCCAGCACTCTCGCCACATCGCCCGAGATACTCAGCCGACCAAGCTGAGACCTGGTGACCGGGCTCGATCAGGTACTCTGAGACAGAGCAACCCCTTCGAGCCAGAGGGCCACCTGCCGCTGCCCTCGGGAGGAGGGGTGCTGCTGAGCAGACCACAGTCTGGAGGAGAGGCACGGCGCAGCACGATCGTTCGCTTTATGGCAGATAGTGGTCAGGTTCCTACTGACAACAACCTGGTTCCTGACCAACACCTAACGCAAAACTTTAGTTTCCCCTTTATTCCCGAGGGAGGAATGAATCCTCCACCTCCCATCAATGCGAACTCCACATTCATCCCTCCAGTGAGCCAGCCTAATGCCTCCCGTACGCCGTCCCTTCTGCCTGTGGAGCCCCAGAACCCTTTACCCTCCTTCTACCCTTCCTATTCTCCAGCTGCTCACCCCAGCCTTCCAAGCGATGTCACCCTCCAATACTTTCCCAACCAAATGTTTACCAGCCCGAGTGCCGACAAGGGCAGCGCTCCTCCACTCAATAACCGCTTCGGCTCCATCCTCTCCCCGCCTCGCCCTGTGGGTTTTGGCCAGGCCAGCTTCCCCTTGCTTCCAGAAATGCCCCCTATGCCCATTGCCAACTCATCTGGAATCACCGCTCATATATCCAACTTCAGCTTCAGCTCACTCTTCCCTGAGATCGCCACAGGCATGCCCACTGATGGTTCAGCCATGCCAATGTCTCCCCTGCTGTCTCTCTCCAACACCTCGGCTGCCGACTCCGGCAAGCAGCCCAATCGTCCTGCCCACAACATCAGCCACATTCTGGGCCATGACGGCAGCTCAGCTGTGTGAGGAAAAGGTCCTGTTTGCGTTTTGATGAGCTGGTGTTGGTGAAGTGAAGTTTCTTTTTCAGTTTGAGATGTGTTGTCCTTGGTGGTGAAGCACCGGATGGACGGTTGCTTGGTTAAGATGAGGCCACGTCTGTCTGGTGGCGTTTTCCGTTTACATGTTCACACTGTTTCAATCTCAAATTTGTTCCCATTTGGCATATGTGTGATATCAGGAAGTAAGTTAGAATTTGTAATATTTAAAAAAATCTTTTGATTTTTAAGGCGACAGGAAATGTTGTCATTTAAATCTTTGTTTGAAATGTTGGTTAAACAGACTGTTTAGGTTTAGAACTTTAATTTAGCATTCTGTGGTCATTAAGAAACCTTCTGCACAGTTACCTACCAATGTAATTTACTAACTTATCAGGTTGTACTGTACAGAATCAGTTTTTTCCCCCCAAGAGCTATTTTGTAAATACAAATGTTTCATATCAGAATTGTTAGACTATGTATGTATTTGTAAATACAAAATTGATTAATAAAGTTTATAAGGAGACATTTGCATATGTTGTCAACTGAAGAGTTGTCTGTTTCTTGGTCCACTAGATGGCACTTGAACTCATCACTTGTTTTTTGTGGCTCACAGGGAGTATTGCAGAATCCCACCAGTGGTAGAAACAATGAAAATTAGTGGCAGTAGTGGTGTCTTTATTCCAACAACAGTGGATTTTAAACAAAGCTGACAACCATAGAAGGAAAATTACACAGCAAATTATTTGTTTTCCCTGTAAAACATAGCAAAGCATAGAAAACAGCCTTTTAATCATAGCGTGCAGACTGCAGTTACCACACGCGTCTCAAGATTGGAAAGATGCACCAAAACACTCAATTTCATAAGCTTTTATTTACATGCGATAGTGCTCCAGCATATGCAACCACACAATGGCTACACTTACAAGGGGGAGTGTAGATTCAGGATGTCCTTCATTTTGATTGCGGGTGTCTCTGGCAAAGACTAATACTTATGCACCTGTGAGGGAGGAATAATACTGTCACACCTGTCACAGCGCCCTCACCTGGCAGTCATTTGGTAACCAGCAAATGAGTAAACAACGGAAGTGGTTGCAGTATAAAGTTCAGCTTATCAGAGTTTAAGATATTTTCCAGAATCTCTCCCATTCAGTGATTTAAAAAAAAAAAAAAAAAACACCAAAAAAATAAATAACTATACAATATATAATCTCTTATACACTACACTAACAATGATTTATGTTGCATACACTTGTTAATAGTTCGTTAATGATGAACAATGCATAATACATGTGTTACTGCTATAGAAAGTCGTCGTATTCTGAAAACGTGACAAAGCAAATGAAGCACCTCATAATTACAGCATTAGACTGGTTTGAATGGTCCTTTTTTTCTGTTGTACGCAAAGCTAAGTACCTATGGTCCAAACATTTAGGGTGGGGGATATCCACGAGTAATGAAGCGAGGAGTGAAGAGGGTCTAGACATGAAGCGCTGAACTGAGAGAAATCCCCTGCAGATTTAAAAAAAAAAAAAAAAAAAAAAAAAAAGGTCCCCTGGATGATCTTCACATGAGGAATAATGTCTCAAACTTGTTTCCCTCCCAAAGAAATGTAAAAAGACTTCAGCATCACAACATGGTATTCCTTTCTCCATGACAATGTATTAATAAAAGAGTCCTTTTCAATATGAAAATAACCTTATATACAGTATAATCAGACACTTATGTACAAAAGCATAAATATATAAATATCTGTGATACAAAAATAAATATTTTCTCTCGTTTTCTTCTGTGTAGCAGTCTCTTATACATCTGTTCTGTTGGCTGTCCTTTTCCCCTCAGGGGAGGCTTCATTTGAGAGGACGTTCACTTCCTGTACTGTTGTATCTTGGGATTGTGGTGTTGTGGCTGCTGAGGATGGTGTGGTGAAAATCCCTTCGTCTTCTAGAGAGAGAAGAGGGAAGGACGCTGGCTCTGCAGAAAGATGGAAGGAAGGAAAGAGAACAAAGAATGATTTCGTAGGGTGACGCTGATTCTAAAGTTAAAAAACAATGGAGATAAACATGTCAAATGTTTTTGAAGTTGTGTGGCTTAATAATTCACACTGAGTTCATATTAAGCACCAAAGCCTAGATCTTTCTGCATTGCAGGATCATCAGATGTAAGAAAAGTAACATATTTACAACACAGTTTAAGTAATAGAAGCCAATTTAAGAGTATTTCAGTCAACAACAGACGTACTGTGAGTGATGCCATCCTCTGATTTATCTCCACCACAGAAGTTACCATCATGTCCCAGTTCCTGTAAACTGCAGTGCTGATGGGAAGAGTCGAGGAGCTGAAGAGTGGAGTTATCAGGAGGACAGCAACTCTGGTCAAGATGATCTGGACTACTAAGGAATACGAGGAGAAAAAAAAACAAACAGTTTATATTAAGGCTGCAACTTGTGCTTATTTTTAGTATCCGTCTATAAAATCTTTCTTCTGTTTTCCATGCGAAATGACAGTGATTGTGTGTAAATCAAATATCAAGATCATTTGAATGCAGATCAACCTTGTCTACAATAATAATAAGTCCCTCCAGTACATTACAGTTAATACTGTTTTATTTGAAAAAAGGTACCTGGTGGAGTAGTGGTAAACGGGCAGATGTCCATTAGACACCGTCTGTGGCAACAGCGAGTCACACTCCATATCACAGTCCACCTCATCCTACAAAACACAAGCGCATAAAGATCATCCATTCAAAATATTGGACTTTCATAACATTAGCATCTTCTACTGAACAGTTTTTGTACCTGCTGCAGCCCTGGCAGGCAGTGTGTGGGGTGGTGAGGTTTTCCGTTCGGAGTGTATTCTCCATTAGCAGGGTAGACGCCATGTGGAACTGTCATGTGGCCGTCCAGCGGGCAGTGGCCAACCAGGGCAAGCCCCTGAAGGGGAACCATGGTGTACTGGCATGACGACACGGGGGCGGCCACGGCAGGAAAACACAAGTCGGACGCTTGCTCTGAAATAACCACAAAAAGAGAATTACACAGATGTAGAGGCAAATATTTTAATGGCTGGAAAAGATATGAGGAACTGCGAGGAGCACTCACTCTGTTTGGCCCAAGCCCTCCAAAGGCAGAAGGGGATGAAGGCAACAATGATGAAGACGAAGGCTCCCAGGACAACACCAACTATGAGGTAGGGTAGATCTCCGGGCCGAGGCACGGGCCCGCCGGGGTGTGTCAACCCATGGTCCGGGGTGTCTGATGGAGTAGGCCGCTGGTGATGAGGGCGAGCTGAGGAGACAAAAGTGGAAAGGTGTGTTAAAAAGACAACTTGGATACTTCTCTGCCTCTAAGGTAAGTGTATGTTAACAGCCAGATTTCCTCACTCCCCCAAAAAACAACCTCACCTTTCGTTTCAAGGATCACCACATTGCCAAATTCACTCTCTCCCTTCTCGTTGAAGCTCTGCATCTTGATGTCGTAGGCGGTCTCAGGCTGGAGGTCAGTGATCGAATGCCAGTATCTGTCTCCCTCCACCACATCCTTCTTATAGTCACTATCATTATCGCTGTCTGTTGGCCGGTAGTAGATGTAGAAACCGTAGATGGGTGTGTTGTTGACGGGAGTGTACTGTTGTAAGGGAAATAAATCATGTTAACAACACAACAAACTCAAAATAACATTTAAAAAAAAAAAATCACAGCAAAAAAAAAAACAACAACAACCTAGAAAATGCATCATGATTAGTAGCAAAAATTTTCTTCCAGTTACTCACCGTCCATTTGAGAATGATGGTAGTCTCATTGATGGCTTCATTGTAGGTGATGTAGGGTCCATCAACAGGGCGTTCATGGGTTCTCCCACCCACCACTGTGTATGCCTTCGAAGGAGCACTGGGAGGACTGGAACCGATTACATTCACAGCCACAACACGAAACTTATAGGACGTACCTACAGGGAGAGGGGAAAACCATTACTAATCTGTCTCTGGGGGCTGCAAGCTGCCTAGAATGAAGAACTGTATTGTGTTGACTAATGATGTTTGTTTTCACATTACTTTATGTTTTCCTTTTCAGAGCATTTGCGATTCACTTATGGTTTTGATTGATGGCAGCAATTACGGGAATGACTGTAACAACACTCATTATGCTGATGAATTTACAGGCCGTGGGAGTGTAATTACGCAGGACATCATCATTGTAATTATATGGTACGACATACTACTTCTCCCCCCCACTCCCCCAAGAGTAATAACAACACTGTTTTAAGTGCATGTGAATGGCCGACCTTTCTCCAGGCCCGTGATCTCCACAGAGAGCCGCGACGGGGGGATGTTTTCCACCGCTGTCACCCAGTCCTCTCCTGCCTTCTTCACCTTCTTGTACTCCACCCGAAATGACTGGATGGGAAAGCCACGGTTACCGCGAGGAATCCAAGTCACGTATGCAGACGTTTCTGTTGCAGTGGAGACTGTGGGCTTGTCGGGGGCTTCGGGAGCTGCAGAGGAAGAGGAATGGTGTCAGATAGAGGACAAGAACAGACATAAACTCCACGACAACACTATAATTATGACAGTGAAGGCAAAACATGTTACGTTCAGCACTTACTGAGAGCTCATCCTTCAGAGACAGAAAGGAAAAAGAGATTGAGAAATGTCAGTGTTAGTCAAAAGGAGAATGGTTAGAAGTTCAGGGTCTTGCTGTAAAACAACACCTTGTTACAGTTATTTTAGTAGAAGTGATTTTATAGTTAGTATATTTAATAGGAGGTGGAGTTTGCAAAGGCCATAATGAGGTACGAGATTGGGAGGATACTCACGAGAGAGGCTTGGTGATGGAACAGCAGGAGTTTTGGGTGGGTCAATTTGCCCTTTACGAACTGGAGACAGAAAAATACTAATAGTTAGTTCAGAGTTTAAATTAAGGAACTGCCTTTTGTGCCATGTCAAATTTTAATTAAATCCTCTTATAGGGCAGGAAGTCCACAGCAATACTATGCTAGCAGCTCTGTGAGGACTGTACTCTTAGCAGTGCTTTGAGCTCAATACTAACATCAGTATGGTAACACGCTCACAATGACGATGCTAACATGCTGATGTTTTATGATCAGGTATAATGTTTACCACGTTCACCGCCTTAGTTTCGCATGTTAGCACGCTAACATTTGCTAATTAGCACTAAGCGCGTACTACAGCTGAGGCAGATGGGAATGACATTAGCTTTGCAGGTATTGGACAAAATGGCAACTGATGATGGTGCTAGATGAAAAGTTAAAGGATCACCAACACGATTAATTCATCCTCAGGGGAACAAGAATGTCTGTACTAAATTTCACAGCAATGTGAACCTTATACTGGCCCTAGAGGAAAACTCAGGAGATTACCAAATTCAGTAGGATTCATCATCTGAGGACCGTGAATGTCTGTACCGAATGTAATGGTGATCCATATAAAACACGAGATATTTCAACAGGACCGACCGACCCACATCCGACCAGCCAAGGCGCTAGCATAAAAAAACATGTTTACATCTTTAATATGCTCTATGACTGCTCT